CTGTGTTCTCTGTGAAGGTGTATGCTTGACATTTCAATTGTCTGTGCCCTTCACACAAATGAATTTTGTGTGAAGGATCGTGCCACACACTCAACTGAAGCATTTAATGACTGTGATTCAGGCACAAAAACACAATGATTTCCAAGTCAGAATGTTAACTAGAAGAATTTGATTGCTGTTTAAGGTGTCTCCTTGTGCATGGACTGAGATAATCTCACATATTAGTATCATGAAGAGCAATTCTGCGCTGAGAGTTGTGTTTTTACTGATAGGGAGTGACTAGCGCACACACACTCTCACATACAGCAGATGTAGAGAACCAGAGGCTGTAAGCAGATTATTTCCAGCACAGAATCACTGTGGCTAAAGCTTCAGGGCATTTCCACAGGTTTTAATGTGCAGGATGTGATAACTCCTCAATGCCTGTGAGAAATGCAGTATACCAAAAATGTCAGAACTGGGTGGGTTTGATGTATTTCTGTTGGTTTAACTCACTGTAAACATGAAAGGGAGCACTAAAATGCATTTTAATCACATTATATCCGACATGAAGTACAAGAAGGGCCTAGAAATAATATTAAACATTGCAAATAATTTAATAGTGTTAGAATTCTTTGGTGTCTAGTAGATGAGGTAAATGAAAATTGTCTGTTACTTTGAAATTTATTTAACATAAAATAACAACATTTCTGCCAGTAAAAGAAAATATAGGAAATCCTTCTGTGAAGATTCTCTGTCATCCAGATGATGGCAATATAGGAGTTATAAGCAACTGGAATTCTGAATTAGTATCTTTCACATTTGAAATGACGAGCCATGACATCTCCTAATTCTGGCTTACTGTCATTTATATGATTTAATCTATATCTAGAAGTGATAAGTTAGCCAGTAGACTCTCCAAAGCAAGTGACATTATCTGCATTATAACACAATGGGCTCTACAGATACCAAAATCCTGTTTCTTGCCTGCAGATTCTGCATTCATATGCAGATATCTGTTGAAAGAGCTTATTGATTTAATGACTTTGGCTGCTTGAAAGGCCACCATGCATAGGAGAGAGGGCATGGAAGCACATGGGGGAGATCATGAGTCCTTTGAACACACAAAGTTTATATTAATTCTTTCATGCGGTTTATAGTCCACCTACCTTGTTTTTCTGTAGGCAGGGGGCGGAAACTCAAACAAACACAAGGAGATAAAAACTAAAATATCAAAGTCATATTATTCTGACTGTGAGGTGACAATGCTGCCACACAGATACAAATCCTTCCACGTACAGTACATACCCAGAGGGATTACACTGTCTGTCACACATCCACCAAGTCTTTGACAACAGTCATGCTCCCACACAGCCGTCATCCTGGCTGGGGCTGCTTGATGCTGCGAGTAGTGACAGCATTATCAGGAGGAGGCCTGTGGAGAGAGGGAGAGGAAGAATGAGACAGAAAAGAGCACAACCTCTGCATGTGATTTCAAAGACCTCCTGCTTGCAGCTGGACAGCAGCTCTGCCTCGCTGGCTGCAGACCAGGCCAGAGTAACCAGTCATCATGCTGCATGCGTTTCTGGATAGCTTGTATGTACACAAGATAAATGTAGAATATTATTGTTCATTGCGTAAATGTTTTTCGTATGCATGGACTTATGCAAACAATCACAGCTTGTTTTATGTACAGTGAGGAAAATAAGTATTTGAACACCCTGCTATTTTGCAAGTTCTCCCACTTAGAAATCATGGAGGGGTCTGAAATTGTCATCGTAGGTGCATGTCCACTGTGAGAGACACAATTTTAAAAAAAAATCCAGAAATCACAATGTATTATTTTTTAACTATTTATTTGTATGATACAGCTGCAAATAAGTATTTGAACACCTGTCTATCAGCTAGAATTCTGACTCTCAAAGACCTGTTAGTCTGCCTTCAAAATGTCCACCTCCACTCCATTTATTATCCTAAATTAGATGCACCTGTTTGAGGTCGTTAGCTGCATAAAGACACCTGTCCACCCCATACAATCAGTAAGAATCCAACTACTAACATGGCCAAGACCAAAGAGCTGTCCAAAGACACTAGAGACAAAATTGTACACCTCCACAAAGCTGGAAAGGGCTACGGGGAAATTGCCAAGCAGCTTGGTGAAAAAAGGTCCACTGTTGGAGCAATCATTAGAAAATGGAAGAAGCTAAACATGACTGTCAATCTCCCTCGCACTGGGGCTCCATGCAAGTATTCACCTCGTGGGGTCTCAATGATCCTAAGAAAAGTGAGAAATCAGCCCAGAACTACACGGGAGGAGCTGGTCAATGACCTGAAAAGAGCTGGGACCACCGTTTCCAAGGTTACTGTTGGTAATACACTAAGACGTCATGGTTTGAAATCACGCATGGCACGGAAGGTTCCCCTGCTTAAACCAGCACATGTCCAGGCCCGTCTTCAGTTTGCCGATGACCATTTGGATGATCCAGAGGAGTCATGGGAGAAAGTCATGTGGTCAGATGAGACCAAAATAGAACTTTTTGGTCATAATTCCACTAACCGTGTTTAGAGGAAGAAGAATGATGAGTACCATCCCAAGAACACCATCCCTACTGTGAAGCATGGGGGTGGTAGCATCATGCTTTGGGGGTGTTTTTCTGCACATGGGACAGGGCGACTGCACTGTATTAAGGAGAGGATGACCATGTATTGCGAGATTTTGGGGAACAACCTCCTTCCCTCAGTTAGAGCATTGAAGATGGGTCGAGGCTGGGTCTTCCAACATGACAATGACCCGAAGCACACAGCCAGGATAACCAAGGAGTGGCTCTGTAAGAAGCATGTCAAGGTTCTGGCGTGGCCTAGCCAGTCTCCAGACCTAAACCCAATAGAGAATCTTTGGAGGGAGCTCAAACTCCGTGTTTCTCAGCGACAGCCCAGAAACCTGACTGATCTAGAGAAGATCTGTGTGGAGGAGTGGGCCAAAATCCCTCCTGCAGTGTGTGCAAACCTGGTGAAAAACTACAGGAAACGTTTGACCTCTGTAATTGCAAACAAAGGCTACTGTACCAAATATTAACATTGATTTTCTCAGGGGTTCAAATACTTATTTGCAGCTGTATCACACAAATAAATAGTTAAAAAATCATACATTGTGATTTCTGGATTTATTTTTTTAGATTATGTCTCTCACAGTGGACATGCACCTACGATGACAATTTCAGACCCCTCCATGATTTCTAAGTGGGAGAACTTGCAAAATAGCAGGGTGTTCAAATACTTATTTTCCTCACTGTATATGCTATGGTGTATAGACTCACTAATTGGTCTTCACTTTACAGGATATTAACCACATTTCATCATAGTTGAATACAGGGCTGGACTGGGACAAAAAATCTGACCTGGCATTTTTGGCCCAGGCGGCCCACTAAAATCGGACACCCCTCACCAATACAACATCCTTTCATTTAAGGGCTCGGATTTGGGGTGTGACAAAACACTTGACGTAACATTGCACAAGATTGGGGCCATGACAACAAGACAAGAATATATTTTAATAGGCCTACTATTTAGGAAAAAAATGTATTGATGAAATAGTTAATGGGGGGGTCTGGTGGTTCTCCCCCAGAAGATGTTGAGCATAAAACACACACACTGATCTCTTACCATCACACAAAGCCAAAGCCTGAAAGAAATACAAGGGATAGGAACCAACTGCAGACAACAGAGTCAGTTCAGTGATTTAATAATGTCAACTGGGGCAAAAACTGACCTGTCTAGGTGTTAAGATCAAAAAACAGTCCAACACAAGCAAACAAATCCGACAGGGAGCAGGTAAGAATTGTAATCCAAAACCAGGCATGAACCTAAAGGGGACAAAGAATAAATCCATGAAATACACATGAAGAACACAGGGGAAACATAGCTGGAATATGACTAAATACACTATGAGGACAACATAATGATACACAAGTCAAACTAATCAGGGAATGACAAACAGACAGGAAGGGAAGTTATCAGCAACAAGAGGAGAGGTGAGAAACAAAGTAAAACAGGAAAAACATAATCAAATACAGAAGACAACTAAAAACAAAGACAGAGAGTTAAATACACCAGACATAAAAAGAAGGGAAAACAAATAAATAAATGACACAAGGAAAAACATATTACAGAGAAAAGGAAAAAACACAGAGACAGGAAGTGAAGTACACATTGATTATGTTCGAAACAGAAGGTAACTGCCTCGCTGCCGTAATAGACAGGTGCCTTGGAAGGCATCACTTTCGAGTGAAGGAATCTCTATGAAAAGTAGATTCAGCAGTATTTACGGCAACGTGTGGTGTCAGCACGCCGTCTTGTATCACTTCTGGCTGTCAGTCACTAGCCTTAGCGTCAGCTAGCTAGCTATTGAACAGTCAAATGGATTGGACACCTCAGAAATCATACTAAACAAACTTGGTTGGTTACAGTTACGGGCTAACATGATAGTGCGGTGTTTAGTTCTCGCTAACTTTTGAAAAATCGAAGCAAAACAAACTACAAAAACTATTAAAAACTTATTTGTAGACGAATTTCAGCTTGTTTGTCCACCATCGAGTCAGCATCGATGCTCCCTTCAAAACTGCCAAACAAGGGCAGTTTGAAGGCATCTTACGAGACAGTAAAAGATGGTTCGAACACAGCCAAAGCCACAAGAGGAAGGGCTTAACAAAATAAAACAGTAATACGCCTGACACTCACCAATCGCAGTAAACGTTTGTAATACATACATATTCACAAATCTGAGCACATACTGCAAATATCCGGTGATGCATTTGCATCGTGTGAAAGGCCTTATTTTACAACTCCATGTTAAAACAATCACAAATTCATATTTAGTATTGTTTTGTCGTGTTTAGTATTGTTTTGTCGTGTTTAGTATTGTTTTGTTGTGACTTTACTGGCTGTTGCAGGTCAGTGAATGAGAAATGCTGCCGTAGCAACAAGCTGATACTTATTGTGCATTTGTTTGTGTCCCACTCCAGAAGAATGCAGCTTCAGCTCTGCGGGGGTTTACGACGGCACCGTGTTCAGCCGGATATTTCAGATCCTTTACAGAAATGAGGAGATTACCGTGAATGACTGTATGATCTTCAAAGTCCACATGCTATTGGATGGAGAAAGGGTGAGTTTTTTTCTGCACACACACACACTTCCTGTGAGAGAATACGGAATGCCATTTGGCTGGTTGCATTTTATCAGTGGCCTGGCTGTAAAATGCATGACAGATAATTACAGTGAAAGCAGCTACATAATAGTTCAATTAAATAGCCATGAATTAATGCATTTTATCATCCACTGTTCCCTCCTACACAAATTTCTACTCTCCACTCATACCATCTGACACAAACAATACTGTCTTTTCATAACCTCTTAAGCCAGTTAATAACAGTATAAATCTTCCACAACTATGTAATGAAGAAGTCATATAATCATGCTGAATAATGGTATATGAATAATGAATAATCTGTCAAGTGGCTTGAAGTGTAAACTGTTTTTGTTCAGCAGATTTTCACTGTTGCAAGCTTGCTGAATCTGTTCCCATACATTTAACAGCTTTTCAGACCTACTTGGTAACTTTGTTTCTCCAAGCTAGTTATCGCAAGTGTTGGAAACAAATCATTTATTTTGGTGCAATGTGACATAAAAAAGTGGCACAAATTGAACAATTGTGCAGACAAAATGTACAGATAATAGGACAAAGTGATACAAAACATAGTTATTTATCATAGCTGCTGATGTGTGTGATATGCTTGTGTAGTCTAAAGCAGTGGTTCTCAAACTTTTCTACGTCGGGGACCCCTAAGCTGATACAAATTGGATTACGGACCCCCATTTGATTTGATTTATGAATCCCATGACCAAAATAGCCAAACATTCTGTCATTGTGTTACTTACGGAATTATGGTGAAAGTATATTATTCTCATCCCCCGCCTGGTGGGGAGAGGAACATCTTGACTGCCTGCTGTCACCGCTGGCCCAGCCCCGGATTAACTGAAGAAAATGGATAGATAGATGGATGAAATGACTGGCTTCAGTTTGGGCCCCCCAAAACAAAATAGTGCAGAGTGCTCCAAATGGGCTACAGCTGGCCCTGATGACCAAAAATACATTATACTCACTTTTAGCTACAGAGTGAAAAGTTAATCCTGACTTAACCATTAAAGACGCAGCCTCTTGAAATTAATGTGCAAATTATAAAACAAATGTAAAATTGTCTGTGCCCCAGAATGCCCATGCTCAGTTCAAATGATCAGGCGTGTAAACCTGCAAGACAGTTATTGATGTACTGTCCTTTACGGTTTCAACATGGGCGCGACCCCAAAAATCCACTTGACCTGTTGTTGTTGTTTCTGGGAGCCACTGGAGCTCAAATTGATCAGTGGTGACAGCGATGAGACAGGCCAGAGGCTGGGATGTGGGGGAGCTAAGATGACCCCCTCTCAAAGCTAATCATCCATGTGAGAGCCATAGCTCACACACCGACTTTACCCTGCACCACAGCTGCTCTCCGACATATGTCTACAATGTAGATGCTTGGATTACTGTGGAAGGATCCCTGTGTCCGTCAGAATGTGGATATTCGTCTCACATGACTCTGCCTAGGTCCTAATTTTAGAAGATTTCATTAAATGTAGATTCACATGGAGGTGTGGAGACAGAGGAGCTTTAAGGCATATCAGATTTCAGCTGTAAGCTCTCCCGAAGGCTCCCCGCTCATTAACCTTCCGGAGGTTATCTGCCACTGACAGCTACAGATAGCACAGACAAAAATAGCCCCTCATTTCCCCAGTGCACACCCATAGGTATGCCTAATCTATCAGAACATCAGTATCGGACAGAACTGCAAAGATTTGTATGTTTACTCCACAGTATGTGTGTTTGTGTATGTTTCAGACAAATGTAAGGAGAAAGGGAGGAGGAAGTGTGTCTAACCTTTATTATAATTAGCAACAATGCACCTCAATGTTCAAAAGACTCCACTCTCAGTACCGCCTTTGTAGATTGCTCATACCTTTTGTTTTCCCATTTTGTTTCAAATTCTCAATTCAAAAGTGCTCTTTATTTCCATAAGTCATGATATTCAATGGCACTTTGAACATGGGAGTAAATCAATTCTGTTCAGCCTACATCAGATTAAAATGAATGCAGGAATACAGTTTGTTTGACCACACAGAGACCATAAACAACTTGACTTATATCAGCATCGCAAACAAGGTCGATCACACGTTCTATACCAAACTGCAGTATTTGTCTGCACACTGCTGTACATGCTATAAATGTCCATCATGTCGTTGGTGTTCAGGTGTGATCGCTCTTCATCATTATTGATTCAGTATTTCATGTTTGGAATACAGATGAAGGGCAAAAGAAAGGGAAAGCCTTGAATCAATGAGTCGAGAAACATACAAGGTACAAAAGGGTCACCGAATGGTTTGATGGGAAAGATATGCTACCAGATCTCCACCCAGCTGAAAATCCTATGGGAGATTTTGGAGAATCAAACACCAGTTTACTCAAAAATGTACTTTAGCAAAAGGAAATTGGACATCAACATACTGTACATAATCAGATATGTTTTGAGGTAGTTTGGTTAAAAAATTGGGTGACAATTTTCATATTTTCTGGACTGGCCCTTTAATCTTATCATATCTGTATTGGCAAGATAACAAATTTGAAATATCAATGTTATTCCAATACCTATCACATTATACCTATAACTTTACTCCATTATATCTTAAGATAAACTTAAGGTACTTTTGGCTGCTATCAAGAAAGTCATCATACAGTATGTATGACTGAATTTCAGTTGTCAATTGTACATTTCTGACAATATAAACAATATGTACAACGCTGGAAAAAGCCCACTATTCCCATGAATTAATGTCAATACTGGAAGATTCCATATGTCATTGATATCAGATGCTATTATTCAGTGCCAATGCAGGAAATAGTGTTCCCCTTAAACCCTGTGGAGCCTTACACATCAAATCAACAACATCCATGTCACCTTGTTCCTATAATGGTCATGCAATAACAACACTACTGTACCAATGTTTTGCAGATGGAGGAAGCCCTGAGCGAGGTCGACTTTCAGTTGAAGCTGGATCTTCATTTCACTGACAACGAGCAACAGTAGGTTTTTCAGCAGTTTGGGAATGTGTGTTTGTGTGTGTTTGTCCTTGTTTGATAGGGGGAGAGAGAGAGATTGAGAGAGAGAGAGAGAGAGAGAGCGAGCTTTGGCAATACTGTTCTATGAACATTCATGTCAATAAAGTGAGATTGAAATTGCGAGAGATAAAGGGAGGAACAATGTTTACTGTTTTAGTTATTTTATTTATTTATTAAATAAACAGTATGCATTGAATTGTTCTTTTACATTTTCCTTGAAGCTTTGGCAATACTATAGACTTTCATGCCAATGAAGGAAATTTAAATTTAAATTTGAATTGAATTGAGAGAGAAAAATAGTTTTTGTAACGTTTCCTTGATTACATTTATTCTTGTTATGTTATATTTAAATGTAAACATTTTGTTGATTTTGTTGCAAAATGTTATGGCAACATTGTTTAACTTAAACATTTATACCAGTAAAGCACATTGAACTGAACTGAACTGAGAGAGAGAGAGAGAGGGAGAGAGAGACAGAGAATACTAGACTTTCCCCTTGTGCAGCTTTTATGCAAGAGTGAGAATGCAAACTAGGCAGGAATAAGGGTCTTTATGTCTTTTGGCTCATAGCCATGTCTTTAAGGATCTGATCACAACTTTTCTGCTAGCAATGCATGATTACTGTGATTTGTCCGTTTGTTTGGGACAAATGGAAGAAGAAATTGGTTGTTTGCAGTGTGCAGTTTTTGTTGAGGAACTGCTCTTGTATCGGATAGAGGTCTTGATTACCATTCCAGTCAACATGCAAACTCTCTCTCTCCGACTCTGTCTTTCATAGCTGCAAGGAAAAAAGTTCTTAATAATGATGTTAGATTATTGGTGAGAAGCAGTCAGCATTCTCAACAACTTTTAAAGAGTCTGGCAAAAGGCAAAGACATTTGTCAGTGATAACTCCATCTCCTTAAACTCCTTTTTGTACCAAGGTAAGACTCTCCAGGGTCAGATGTTTGAGATACACCGATTCCCTTTTAGAATGTGCAGTACTATCACTATATTTGCATTTAATTAATCTGCACTCTCTGTAGTTTTGCATCAGCACAGTAGCACTGTAGTAGTACGATAATAATTTAACTGATTGTCTGTTATTTGTTTTATCTATTTTACTAACTATTTAACTATCTTAACTGTGGAATAAGCACTATAGATGGGGAGAATACCAAAAACAATAATTCTGCAGATTACCACTCCAAGAGTATGTAAAAGTGTCTGTCATTTGTGTAGGTACATTTATTTGTCACAATATAACAAGTTATAGAATGAAATTGAGTTTTGTAACTCCCCTCTGCTACATAGCAGCCAATATAAATTAATAAAGAATCAATTGTAAAAAAAATGGTAAACAGAAATCAACTTTCATCACTGGAGCAGTGCTGAGGATGAATTAAAGTTTAAGAGTCTGATAGCTTGGGGGGAAAAGCTGCTCTGCAATCTGGTGGTGTGGCAGCAGAAACTTCTATGTCTCTTCCCAGAAGGCAGCAGGGTGAACAGGCTGTGGCTGGGCGGGTACTGTCCATTAGTATCCTTTGGGCTCTGCATAGACACCTCACCTCACCGATATCAATGATGCTCGGGAGATGGGTACCAATGATCGTCTGAGCAGTTTTAATCACCTGCTGCAGAGCCCTCCGGTCCTGGGCCGTGCACATCCCATGCCAGTTTGTGATGTTTCCATTCAGGATGCTGCTTTAGATCCCTCCCTCCCACAAAGTTTTAGACCAATTTCAAAACTGCCTTTTATTGCAAAGATTCTAGAAAGAATTGTGTCCAAACAGCTGGAAAATAACAAATTATTTGAAAAGATTCAGTCTGGTTTCAGGAAGTACCACAGCACTGAGACTGCCCTGCTTAAAGTCACCAATGAACTTTTAATGTCTGCTGATGAAGGTATGTGCTCAGTCCTTGTACTCCTGGACCTTAGTGCTGCTTTTGACACTATTGATCACAACATCATGTTAGACAGACTGAGGCACTGGGTGGGGATCTCTGGTACTGCCCTAGAATGGTTTTCATCCTACCTGTCAAATAGGAAGTTTTGCCTGTCTGTAAACAACTATGTTTCTTCGTTCTGTCCAGTTAAATACTGTATGGTGTGCCTCAGGGGTCAGTCTTAGGACCCATTTTGTTTTCCTTGTATCTGCTTCCCCTTGGACATATTATCCATAAACATGGTATTTCTTTTCATATTTATGCTGATGACACACAAATATACTTGCCCGTCCGATCCACAGACCCTGGAATGCTGAGTTCACTTAACAACTGCCTTTGTGAAGTTAAAAAATGGATGTCAAATAATTTCCTCCAGCTGAACTCAGAAATCCTGGTCATCGGTTCCCAGCAGATGGCAAAACAAATACTGCCATCTGCTGGTTCCCTAGTAAATCACATTAAGCCTGTTGCAAAGAACCTTGGTGTCTGGTTTGATAGTAATTTAAATTTCGAGCAGCACACCACAAAGCTTGTTCAATCATGTTTTTATCAACTTCGAAATATAGCAAAAATTCGATCTATGTTAACTTTTAAGGACACCGAGACCATTTTACACGCCTTCATCTCATCACGCCTGAATTATTGCAACAGCCTTTTCACTTGTTTGACCCAAAAATCTACTGATCAACTCCAGACTGTCCAGAACTCAGCTGCCAGGCTTTTAATCAGAACAAAGAAATATGACCACATCACCCCTATTTTAGCTTCATTAAACTGGCTCCCAGTATTTTTTAGAATTGACTTTAAAATTTTATTGATCACTTTTACACTTTCTTTACACTTGTTAAAGCACTTTGTAACTTGTTTTTGAAAAGTGCTCTACAAATAAAGATTACTATTATTATTATTATTGCTCCTCTGTAAAAGCTGACAAGAACTTGGTACGGGAATTTACCCTTCTTAAGCTCCCTCAAGAAATACAGTCGTTTCTGAGCTTTCCTCACCAGCGTGGAGATGTAAGACGACCATGTCAGGTTCTCTGTGATGCTGATTCCCAGGAACCTGAAACTGTTCAGCTTCTCCTCCTCAGCTCTACTGATTGACTGTCTTTATCTCTTTTTTTTCTGAAATCAACAATCAGCTCCTTAGTTTTGCTGACGTTGAGCAGTAGGTTGTTCTCTGTGCACCACTCTGCAAGATTATCAGTTTCCTCCTGATATGAAGTCTCATCATTGTTCATCATTGAAATCCGGCCGATGATGATGGTGGTGTTGTTGGGGGATGCAGTCCTGGGTGTACAGCGTGAACAGGAGGGGGCTGAGCACTAGAGCTGACTGGGGTCTGTTTGTGAGGAAGTCGAATATCCCGTTGCAGAGTGTTGTATTTAAACCCAGAGTGCTGAGTTTACTGATCAGTTTCATGGGGAAGATTGTGTTGAATGCCGAGCTGAAATCCACAAACAGAATTCTGGTGTAGGTGTTGTTTTTCTCAAGGTGTGTGAGGGCTGAGTGCAGGGCAGCCTAAATGGCAAAGTTTTGGAAGTGTATTTGTGTATGTAACGTGTGTCTCTCTCTTCTCCCATTCCTCAGGCTGGCAGAAATAATAACTGTCCCGTTGATCAGCAGTCGGACCCTCAGCCTTCACTTCCACCCGCAGAGAGGCCTCCACCACCATGTCCCCGTCATGTTCGACTACTTCCACCTGTCCGTCATTTCTGTCTCCATACATGCTTCACTGGTTGCCTTACATCAGCCGCTAATCAGGTAGAGTTAAGAGAGGCTTTGCAAACATTTGCATTTGACAGACTTTGAATTTTTGATATGAAATTATCCCAGGGACCCAAATGACCATTTTTTAAGCCCCGCCCTTCTTAGTTACTGTTACTAGTGCACTACTGTTACTGGTAGTGCACATACAGAATCCAGTTCAAAATGACAACAGTGGCAGATTAACCACTCAAAATTCTTATTCATTTTAAAACCTTGTTTTTAGACAGACGTTGACAAAAGCAGCTTGTCATTTCTAGCCGATGACTGAAATGAGCCTGCTATGGCTGGCAGATAATATTGACTGTAGTTAGCTGGCTAATTAAGCTCACATTGGGGCAATGAGTTGGTTGAATTGTCTTTTTTTTTTGTTTTCAATGAGACTCTTGTAAAAGGGATTTTAACTATGCCCTTGATGACTATATACATATTAATGTGCCAACAGACTGAGGCTAAAGCTGTACGTTCAAGGCAAAACGTCAGTATCCTCAGTAGGCAATGATCCATGTGCAAGTAGTTAAGTAAAGCTTAATTTATATGGCACTTTTCAAACGAGAGTTACAAAGTATTTCACAGTTCACAGGAAAAAGACATTAAAGACATAAAGAATTACCCCAAAGTGAAAATAGTTAAATTTATAGTTAAAGTTATTCTTGAACAGGCTTTTTATGTAACCTCACAACGATAGTTAGTGGAGCATTAGAGTAGATAAACACTGTTGAACCCATTCCTTACACTTTTACTCTTGTGTCTTTGGTTTTGGAAGGGCTAAGACACAGCACTACAGCCAATAAATCAGCCACAAATCCACCACAAAACACCGCAATCAGCTGACTTAATCAGTTGTACTTTTCTGCAAAGTACTACTTATAGCAATAAAAAGAGTTTACTTTCAAACTGCTTAATGTCATGTTATCTTGGTGAGGTCTCCTTACTACACTTAACAAATGTCAGTGATAAATTTTGTTTATGTTCGGGTATTAAATCCTCAGATATCCAAATTGGTATCGGTCGGGCTCTACACGACACCAACTTTCCAAACTCTGTCAATACTGGGTATCATTCTTACTACAGCCCCATGCACATAACTTGCCGTGCCTAGCTACAGTTGCCAAGCTATGATTGAACAATTGCAATTTGTAGGAGAGTTTTAGCAAACAGTCAATTCGAGTCAAATAGGTCTTTCTTGTTGATTTAGTATTGAATTGTAGAACTGGCTACACTGGGAAGATACTCACTTGAAAGCTATATTTGCAGTATCCATAATATCAAGAACAGAAGAACTCAAGTGAATGAGCATCTTTTCCCTCCTTGTAATGTTTGGGCATTAACAGTTAAGAGTGTGATTGTTAGCTGCTTGAGTGGATAGTTATCCAAACACTTATCTGATCAATTCAGCTATCAGTATCATAAACTCGGTGTTTAGCCATGTATTTCATAGATTACTGCAGCACTTGACTGATTGGAATAATAGCAACTTCCGACTCTCACCTAATCTGTTTTCCTTCCCACACATACACACTCATGGTTTGTCCCTGCATGTGTCCTGCCTGTTCTCTCTGCAGCTTTGCACGTACGGGGAAGGGCTCCTGGCTGGGGAAGGGCTCGCCAGAGAGCGCGAGTGACCCATCTGCCATGTCTGTAGAGAACCTTGTGTTCGGAGCGGGCTACTGCAAACCAGTCATCTCTGAGGTATTTTAACCTTTAGCAGCTCAGTGTTGTTGAAATAGAAAGTAACAGAGAGTCAAAACCCATTTTGTCTCACAAAGCTGAAAACAACTGCGATGCTTGGGAATAACACTAAAAGAATGAGCCGGCCTCCTTGTTGAACTGGTTGTTCCCTTTTTATTTTCGCAAGCAGCTAAATTCCATGCCATGTCATAAATGTAATTTCGGTTTAGCCACGGAAGCCGATGGATTTAGTTGTGATTTGTTTTTGGCATGTCATCCAGAAGCAACAAGATTCAGCCCAGGAGCTGGGCAGAGAGTCAGTCTGATCTAGATTACTGATCCTGCACCTCATTTGTTGGGGCTCCGTGGAGTCTTAAGACGTACGGACCAGAGGCCAATACAGAGATTATTACTGTGCTGTACCATGGTTTTTCATAATATCTGATTAACCCACCTGCTCAGGCATGTAGGCTCCAGGCTTCACATCTGGAAGTGATAGCAGCTTTCCCTGGAAATGATGGCGTGGTCTTGTCACCTCCGTCTCATGCGTCTGTGCCCATTTACAGCACAGTTAAGATGCACGATTGCGTGATGACAGAAATGATAATCTAGCTACTGTTATTATTATAATTATTATTCGGGATTATATATGTCCAATTTATCACCCTTTAATCACCAACCAGAGAATGTACATACTGTTATAAACTATTCTCCCACAATGTAAAGCAGCAAGAAAATAGTCACAGCTTGACTGACATCTGAAGTTCCATGATAAGTTCCAATTACAAAAACATGGTAAAGTATGTCGATTTTTTGTACTCTAGCAAAGCAGTACACTAAATAGTATACTATTTTAGCAGCATGATGATTAGTATGTAGTACCTACTGTATAGAATTAGTATGTAGGATGGATTTGGGACTCGCCTACAGTGTGCATCAATAACACATTCAAAATACAGCTGATTTAGTACTGACATCTTTAAGTACAATTCATTTAGTCATCGTTCCAGTGTCAAAATACTATACTATGCTATACTATAAAAATATAGCAGAATTACACAATGTGTACAATGGGGACACAGCTTCTAAAAAAAGTCTATTTTCTATAGACTAGCACTGTTTTCTTTGTAGTTGTCACTATTATAGGAGTAGCAGGCCAAGTTCAGAGATTTGATTTTCCACACCTAACAAATGAACTAATTCTTGATGTAGCCATTATCTTTAATCAAAACATCTCTTATCTGTACTTTTTTCTTGACTTCGGCAATTATTCCATCTTGTGAAAAGTTTTAAAACACATGCATCTCTCAGGTTCCTGCGGACGTCACAGTCTACACTGTAAATCTTAATGAGTGCCCCTGTTGCCTTCCCCACCTCCTCCTGGTTTTTACTCAGACCTCTGGCTGGGCACTTTAATAAGCTCTGGGTTTAGCCAAGCAGGGGGGCTTCGTTTGATCACAGTAATGACTTCTGCTCACAAGCGCCACGTACCACATAGCTGCAGGTGATGTGTGTGCATAGAATGCCGCCTCCTCCTTCACCTTTCTTTATTAAGAGCTTTTCACCTGCGGCTACGCTACGTTTTCAGCGCTTTCCTCCTTAACACTACAGCATTTCCTCAAAGTGTGTGAAAAATCACATTGTAGATTCCCATTGATATCAGCTGATACATCTCAAAAAGGAAGGGAAAAAAAATCCCTCCGTGGTATAAAAGGATATTTTGAGAGGAAAATGATGCTGTTAGAAGTGAGACACCTGAGAATCTTTGGTCTTACTGGTAATAAAAAAATCATGGTTCTGAAGATCAACTCAGAAATCATGTCAAATCATATCCTTTGAGAAGCTTTTTTCTACAGAACTTCTTTGACGGCAGCAGTGATTGGACGCTTAGATACTACTACAGACTGCAATGGTGAACCGTAAAAGCTGCATCAACAACAGCAAAACAAAAGCAGAAATTCTCATGTCAGGTGACTGGGGCACAACTCGGGCTTTGTCAGCCCAGAGAGAAACTACAGTTTTAGGATAATGACTAGTTTATACCTAAAAAGTAGCTCTTTTTCTCTGCCCTTCGCTCGGAGACTGATTCAGGCAGGCCTCTATAAAGGTAAAAAGAATTATGAAAGTAAACATACAGATGTTCCTTCCTGGTTTGGGTATACTGCACTGTTACAATTACAGAGCGCACGCAGGTATGATGATAGGGCCGGAGACTTCACTTGCTAGGGGCAAATTACAGTACATCCCCAGATACTCAGGCATGACATGCCTTTTGTAGCTCAGAGCCCCACTGGCGCTGCCAAAACATCCCAGCCATCAGGAGAACTCACTGGGTAGCAGACCAGATCCGGGATCAGCAGACGAGGGCAGTCACTGGTCACATTCAAGGCCTCTGGCTCATTATCGTGACGTCTGACATGTACAATGATTGTTTGGTTAGAAGGCCATTAGCTCAAGGCTTTGGTGATTTGTAGCTGTTTGGACAGAATCATGTGTCACACTCAACACATACTATAAATTGCAATGGTGAAATACATTTAATATTTCTTCTGCATTGTTAGAGAGCCATCTACTGGAATCATGGTCCATATTACAGCGTATTTTAACTAACACTCAAAAGCAGGGGCACTTGTATCTGAACTACAGGAATCATTTTTCTTTTCTTTTTCATTTGTTATTTGCTTCCTTTAGCTTTGTACCTCTCTTGGCAATTTTTTATTGTGTGATTTTAACTTATTAGATTTTAACTATTTATACACACTATTTCTTGTCTCTCCTACTCATCAAGCCCCAGACAGACACGAAACCTTGGATTCTAGGTCAACTTTCCAGATCCGTTACATCCTTCTTATGCCACATAGACGTATTGATTTTCTTTCACAGCTTACAGCAAGCTGTGTTTAGGGGCCACTTGTTTCTAACGTTGTATTTGAACTTGAAGCAATTATCTTATTCCTTTCTAATCGGATACAAGCTCCTTTTAACACAAAGTCAGTGAGCCTATTCAGCTGTTGCAGTGGCAAGTTCAAGTATTTATACATGTTCGTCATTGAGACAGGCCATTTTCTGAGAGGTGACTATTGACCTACATAGCGGCTGACATTTCCTCTGTGTCTCTTTCTCTGCAGGGAAGCTTTTATGTGCCCAGTGAAAACTGCCTGCAAGGAGCGCATACGTGGCACCGAAGGCTGTGTCGCCTCCTGTTGGTCACACACAAAGGCCTGCACACCTACTACACAGCACTGTTGAGGGAAATCCCACAGCTCCAGCAGACTCCACTAGACTCAGGTGACCTTATGCAAAGCTCTGTATTCAAACTTAGTTTTGGTCCTTAAAAATATTGTAAATGTCTTCATATAAATAGTTGAAATATAAGGTCTTATAAAAATTCTAATGTTTGAAGCAGTATGTTTTTTTCATAACAACTCTTTTCTTTGTTCTTTATGTATTAATACAAGAATGCAAAATACACTTAATGTTTCAAAAACATAAGTACTCATTTTGCATATTGACCATTTTCAGAGTATTATTACATACTATGGGGTTCTGTCGGGGTGCTCCGGCTTCCTCCCACCATCCAAAGACAAGCAGGCTAGGTTAATTAGTGTCTCCAAAATTGTCCTTAGGTGTGAATGGTTGTTCTCTATATGTGGCCCTGCGATGGACTGGCATGGATGGATTGGCTCCAGCCCTCCCGCGACCCTGTACGCAGGATAAGCGGTTGACGATGGATGAATGGATTGAATAATATGTAATATTAGGCAACAGCAATGTTGTTACCAGTGGAGGTGGAGCTTACTTGAACCATTTTATGTACCATTTCATCTATGAAAGTGCAGCATAATTTACATGTTTTGGGTGAAAACTAACAAAACAAACCTAAAACTAAAGTATCAGAAAATAGAATTACCAGAAAATGGAAATACTAAATAAAGTTAAGTACAAGTAAATCAAAATTGTAATGTACTTGAATAAATGTACGGACTTACTCTTAACTACTTGTTAATAGTACACAATTCAACTCATATAATACAACTCATTTCATGTAATTGCCATGTTATAGTTTTGGTCTTCAGTCCCAAAGGTTATTGGATTATTTTACAGAATTTTACAGAATTTTCTAAATCAAATAAATAACTTCCTTTCATTAATTTTGTAGTTACCCTGCTTCTTTCTTTCCACAGAGGTGCTGCCTGTAGAAGAAACTCTAAATCAGCTCACAATACAGTTACAGGTATGTTCATTCGCCACACTACATCCACAGATAAGCCATTAGTTCAGGGGGATGGATATGATTACAATACATTCTTTGGTGCCCAAAAAGGCAATACAATCTATTTGTCAAGTTATGAAAAGGATCAAGTTATATTAAGTCTCTAAACAAATTGTGAAATGTATGTGTGGACTGATACGACGGCTCAGAACAACACGGGCTGATTGACTGATGAGTTTTTTTACAAAGATCCAAAGACATGCAAGTTAGGCAGCATGTCAGTGGGTATAAATATGTTTTCCAGACAAACAAGGATCTAGTAGAATGATGCAAAATTTATTTTGGGAAGAATAATGCATTCAGTTTGATTTTATAGCAATATCTTTTTTTTCTGACCCCCTCCCTGTCCCCATCAGCTACAGGAAGGCCATGAGAAGGTAGCGGAGCAGATCAGCAGGGACGTGAGCCAGCTCTGCTCCCAGCTGGCTGCTCTGTGGAGCCGCTTCCTGGAGGCCGCTGTGCTCAACCCCCACATCCTCTCCTACCTGGCCCAGGAGCACCACACGCTCAGGGTGAGAGTCACGCTCCGTCAGGCACGGTTACACAATACCCAAACTTCAACATTTACAGTGTGTTCTCTGAGCCACAGTCCAGATAGTCTCCACATTAGAGTGCAATGACGGCAATTTGTGCAGATATGTTTAAATTTAACCATTTTCATCCTCAGCACCCACACCAAAATAAAAATACTGCAGAACAATCCAAATGGTTTCATAACCAGTGACATTTTAGTTCCTTGAGGCATGCTGTGACCAATTTTCTTAAAGGTTTTATGAAATATTAAATAAAATCCTCTCACATTGCACTAAAATGATCTCTCTGGGCACACTCAACGCGTATAAATAACATTTAAACCAGTTGTGATGAGGAAGAAACCATTTTGGAGCAGGAAAAAATGTATCAAATGAGCTGTGAGTCAAAGGTAAGAATTATGACTCTAGTGAGTGATCAGTGACAGCTACAAAGTGAAATGGCTAAAATGCCTACAACTCAGTAGCTTAAACCCAGCTGAGCAAGCTAGTATATTTTCTAATGCAATTTCTATCTTATCACTGAGCTGTTTAATATGAATATGAGCTTCACAGTGAAGTAGCTCTCAAGGCTCTCTTATGTGGTGGTGTTTTGTCTCGGTTGTATGAAAATAATGAACATGTTTGCTTTGGTATTAGATTACCCTGAGGGGATCCTGTCATGCCTATGCCCACCAGTGGAGTTAGGATTTCAATTAACACTTATTCTGTTATTATTGTGGGGTGAAAATACACCAGTTCCTGGTGATTTGCCTGTCACACTGGCTGACTTTCGAGGACAATGCATTTGTAATTTAGACTTGGTGAAGGAGAATGCTTTTGCATAAAGCTTGTGTTGCAGACCTTAAATAATTGATTCAGTCCCATTGACTGTTCATATTGGCTCAGCCGGTGTGAAAACGTTTTTGTCTGTTTATGGAAACACCAGGTCAGGAGGTTCTCAGAGGCATACTTCTTCACTGAACACCCCAAAGAGATGTCTCTGACTTTTCAAGAGGAACTGTAAGTGTCAGCCTTCTCAGAAAAAAAATAAAATAAAAAATTAATTATATGAATGGAAAGAAGTGTTTTATTTATGATATTATTCTGCTGATTCAGTATCAACAGACATGGCCAGATAGCTGCAGAGGTGCGGAGCTCAGACTACCTGACCAAGATGCCTCCTTTGCCTGTTGAGTGCCTGGACATTGATGGAGACTGGAACAGCCTGCCTATCATATTTGAGGACAGATATGTGGAGTCTCCTCAAACAGGTAAAACAAAACGTGACTGAAAGTATTGTCTTATTTACACCTAATCACAGTTTTTCAAGATAAATGGTTAAGTCGAAAACTGCGATGTCCTTGTCTTTCCAGAGTCGATATCACATGTGCCAACCGCTGATGGGCAGACCAACTCAGATACTGCCGTCACTGCTGCCAATGGGGATTTTGAAAGCAGCCAGGGACCCAGATCACCAGCAATACCCCAGGATCCCTTGGACGGTGATGACTGCATGGACCTTCCCACATATGTCTCACTCATAGCAGAGCAGAGTAAGAACAGTACCAACATGAGAAGTACCCCTAACCTCATTCCCACTGAGGACAGTGCTGGACTCTCTCCAGCAGGGACAAAAAACCTGAAGGAACCAGAGGAAAAACAAGGGCAGGTTGAAGAGAACTGTAATCCAGGCCCGAGGTACATTGCAGTTAAGCCTTGTGATGTGGATCCATATGGAGGAGAAGCAGTCCTGGTTCTCTCCTCAAACCATAATCCCCTCATTGACTCTGATAAAAGCAGTGATCAGTCTCCTGCTCATCATGTAACAGAAAATACCGTCCAACTTTGTGATGCCACAAATGACAGCAACGCAGGAGAGAATGAAAACAATGAAGAGGAGTCTGATATTGCCATGCCATTAAATCACTCCATGGATGATGAGAGTGAGGATGTTCTACCCACTGCCTATGGGCATCCAGTTATACCTCCCTTTCCCGGTGAACTCAGAAAAGACATGACTCACCGTGGAGGCCTAGTTGGCTCCAAGATCATGAAGCGCTCATCCTCAGTTATTTCCGACTCAGGTATTGAGAGCGAGCCCAGCTCGGTGGCCTGGCCCCTGGAGGCTGCACTGCGAGGCCGACCACCTCTAGACTTCTCCAGCGAACGGGAGATCCCACAGCAAATAGTGTGCCGCCACCCGGTCCACCGCAGCTCTCTGGAAGGCCTACAGATGGAGAGCAATGGCAGCCTTCCAAGTGGAGGCATACAGGCCTCACTCACCTCTATTAGCTCCCTGCCCTACGAGGAGGACCAGCAGCAGAGGCAGCTCAGCAAACTGACCAAGTCAGTCTCTGCGCCACAGATAAGTAGCCCTGAAGATACTGAGGAGGGACATGTGCTTCTCAACCAGGAGACAGACCCTAAGAGCTTGGTGACACACGAGGAGTCATTTAAGATAAACTGCTCTTCGTTGAACATCAACCTGGATTCTGAGCAATCTGAATCATCTCTATTAGACCCAAGTTTAATGTCAAATCTTGGCCATATTCTTGAGCAGAATGTTAGCTCTGAAAAGTCAAACCCTCCACAGTACCTGTCAGAGACATACAGAACCAAGTCAGTGTTAAGTGGTGTGTCTGAAGTCTTGCTTTTACAAGAGTTTGTAGCAAGCCCTCCTGTGAAGGACAGCGCTGTTATTGGCAGCCAGGGGGAGAATGTGAACCATCAAACACACATCAGTGGAGTAAGCGCCTCAGTGGAGGATGTGCATCTCATTGAAATGGAAGCAACGCCCTGCAGCTGTGGACACAAACCATGTGTGCATAAAAGTGCTGCAGATCAGGAGAGCATTAACACTGCAGATGAGTGCCAAAGCTTCCATCAGACCAAATTGCTTGATGTTGAGGACCAGGAGTGTATGGATCCCTTCCGAACACATCTACAGCCTTCAGAGCTTCACCACTCCAATGACCTCCCCAACAGTACCACCGTCACACAGAGGCCGAGTGACCTTACAGGGCTGACAGCCAATGATATCACATCATTTGTTAACGTCAATGAGATATCAGCCAGTGAGAAAGAACCTTTAGATGGCCAGGCTAAGCCCTCTAAGATCCCTAACTCAGGGCTGGCCTTCGTGAATAAGAAAATGGTGGAGGTGGTGAACATGTCAGTAGCTTGTGCCCCGACTTGTCTGCCATTTTCTTCCGTCCTGAGAGACTCTCCATCCATCAGTGGAATGTCCGCTCGCCAGGCTACCTCACCTATCACCCATCAGCCCCTGGGCTCCTTTGGTATCATCTCATCGTCTTCTCTCAATCCCCTGAACATGGATGACGAGACCAATGAACGAATGCTAAAGTGAGTTTATGTTTTCAGTTAGTGTTTAAAGAATAAACCTAAACCAAAAGGTGTTTTAAAGCCCAATTTAAAGAACAGAGCATGCTATTTTCTTTTACAACCACATATGAAGAACTGTACATGTGTCCCTTTTGTCTGTGCATGAACAGACAGAATTCCACTCTCTGTCTACATAGACAGGCAGTGACACTCACAGTGGCCTTTTACACAACACAAACCCACATTAGCTTTCTAGCTAGTATTAGCTTTATAGCAGGCAATAGTATCTGTCTGCATACTGTTGACTGACAGTGAGACTTAAATCCAGACAGCAGCCTGCTACACACAGAAAACAAACATACAGAAAAAGAGCCACAGACTTTGAACTGCATTAATCAGTAGCTTCCTAGCTAATGTGCATTATCTGCTAACATGGACATGTCTTTTGATGTTGAACAAGCTGCCAATCATATGTCTGTTTGTTATATGTTAGCAGACTTGATAGAAAAAATGGCTAGTCCACTGTGGTTTGTCAGACTGCTAAAACTTACCTGAAAATTTTAACATTCATCAGTTTAGACCAATTTACTTACTAGCTTTATAAGCTACAGTTACTAGTCCATGTATATTTACATTGTGTCTCAGTGTCCTTATTTGCTCAGCTTTCAAATACTTGCACTGGCCCATCCACTTAAAGGTTTGGAGGCTAAAGGAGCAGTCCTGGGACTTCTTGTCCTTTCAGTTATAAAGAAATATTAACGCTAACACTATCTGCATTCTAGCATTTTCATATGTGTTAGTGTGTTTAGGGACGAGAGAGTAATGTCTTTCTGATTTAAGTGTCGGTAAATAATGTTTCAGAAAATGCAGGCTCTCTTCCATGTTAAACTTTGTGAAAGTGAGATTATAGTCCACACCAACTGCAGGAAACAGGGCCAAAACACGAGGTTTTATGACTATGTGGAGACGACTGTTGACATCTGGAGCAGTAGCTGGCAGTTACTCAAGCTTGGAAAAGCCTAGCATAACAAAATGAAGTGAGGGCAAATTTGAAGCAAGGAAGTCAAGACAAGGTGAAATGCCTCCTGAGTGTATTAAATCACATCAAAGAGTGCAGACAAATCCATCACGATTAGCTGAAAGTACAGGAACTGGAATCGGATTTGTTTTGACTCCTCCGCTGCTAAAATCTGTAACCTGGCGGGCTGACAGGGTAATAAAACTTAGAGAAGCTACTTGTAAGTCCTTGGGACTTTTGTTCATAAGCTGTGTTCACTCAGAAGTGGGAAATGTAAACTGAAATTAATCAAATACAAAAATGCAAGGCAGGTTTACCATTGAATCACTCACGCTCACAGGAAACTGTGAGCGTGAGTGATTTTTTTGGGGGAAAATGAAATCTTAGATCAGCATTTTATTTCTGTGATTGTATATCATTTGCTTGTCTTTGCACATTACTGGAAAGTTATTTTTCAATTTATTGCTAACATACAGAACATAATCTCTTGTTTTCTTATCCCCCAAATGTCATTTCCCGTTTCTCCAGTTTCTACAAAGCCAAAGAGGAGCTGCTGAAAGAGTTGAGCTTTCAGGCCAGCTTGTACGCCGACCTTCCTGACCTGGCATCAGATATGCCCTACTTCCCCCCTGAGGAGGATGATGAGGAGTTTGATGACGGCATACACCTTGTGGTGTGTGTCCACGGGCTTGATGGTGAGTCTGCAACCATCTAAACGGTCTGGTTCACTGCAGTCCAATTCCATTGCGTATGTAATTGCTACTAAATTGAAACAGATTTTCAGATTTTTTTATTTAAAAAATGAGCATTGAGCATTGTAAATGTAAGAGAGTCTCTGACAGTATGTCTTACAAGCTTAAAATATCCCTCCACGCTAATACTAATTCCAGAAAACATATTCCAGGTCTTTTAAGTGATTAATGGGCCAGAAACAGTGTGCATTATTTCCCCGTTGCTTCCAGGAAACAGCGCAGACCTTCGGTTGGTGAAAACCTTTATTGAGTTAGGATTGCCAGGATCCAGGCTGGACTTCCTCATGTCGGAAAGGAACCAGGTAGATTTGTAGATGACAGTGATGGGAGCGAATTGATAACACATGCGTATGTGTTATCAATTCCATACAAACACATTTTCTGAAAGTGCTTAAAGGCAAACTGTGGAGTGCTGACGGCTGTGCTTTGCCGTTTCTCTGCAGACTGACACGTTTGCAGATTTCGACACCATGACAGACAGGTTGCTGGATGAGATCATTCAGCATATCCAGCTGTACAATCTCACCATAGGCAGGATAAGGTCAGTCACTCAACTTTAATACTGCGCAACATACACATACATACTGACTGACAACTCCCCTTTAGATTGATTATGATGGATTATTTGAGGCAAAGTCAAAACAGGGGCAAGCATCAAGTTAAGCAGCATTTTCTTTGGTCAGTAGATGGCAGCAGAGACTGTACATGGATACTTGGACTCAGCACGAATGCCTTAACTTATGAGAATCACTGTTTCATGATAATAAATAGACTATACTAACACAGAGCAGGTAAATGGCACAAAATGGATGAAAAGCCCTTATCATACAGTGCCAATATGTTTCTGACTTTCACTTGATCGACTGTATTCCTTTATGCAGCAGTGTGTCGCCTAGTTCCAATCAAATTGAGCTATTCATCTTCCTGCTTAATTGCCCTCAATGTGCCAATTTATAATTTTTTTTGCAAGAGTTACCCAAGTTTGTTAACTTTCTTTATTGTGACGTATCCTCTAGAGAAAAGTATCAAAGACAAAAGCAATGGACTGCCACAACAGCATCTGGTTCTTTCCACATGACTTCTATATTTAGTTTCAGTAGGAGACGGATGAGAAGGAGCAGGCATGGGATTTTGGGTAGAACAGTACAGTAATTAAACTAAGTGACAGACATAGCTTCATGAATCTAATGTTTCCCACTGCTGGGAAGACACTTTCAATTTGTATGGTATGTCCTCTATGTTAGCATCATTAAGTTGTCATTGAGAATGTTAAACATTTAACAAGTTAATGAATTTTCTGTAATCCCAAGTGCTGTAGCTAAAATCTCCAAATAGCCTCCATTGGAACTAGTTCCTACTTACAGAAGAGTCTATAATAAGATATTGCACAGTGTCATACTGTAGGTCAGCAGCGTTGGAGGCACTGTTTTTCTAGCCACCCACTCAAGTTGGAAGTTTATCTCTCTAAAAGTTGTTTGTCTTCGGCCAACAGCTTCATCGGCCACTCTCTGGGGAACATCATCATCCGCTCAGTGCTGACGAGGCCTCGCTTCCGCTGCTATTTGCCCAAGCTGCACACTTTCCTCTCGCTGTCAGGGCCACACTTGGGAACACTGTACAACAACAGCACGCTGGTCAGCACAGGTGAGGCCACCGAGCAGCCGTGGGGAGGCCGCACACTGCAGATGTGCTGTGTTTACAATGCTGTGCACCGCTGCATTTCGATCTTTTGTGCTCCTCAGCAGCATCTAGTTTTTGATGATCTAAGAATACCATCCTTGTGTGTTGCCTAGGTCTGTGGTTAATGCAGAAGCTGAAGAAATCAGGATCCTTGCTGCAGCTCACCTTCAGAGATCAAGTTGATCCACGGAAAACATTCCTCTATCTCCTGAGTCAGAAACCAGGTACCGTCTGAAAGTGGACAAATTTGAAACAGAGACAGTATATTGACTGACTCACTTTACAGACTTTAAAGACAGTCTATTCAAATATTCATGAAAATGTTGTCATGTTGTCTTTTTTGTCAAATTTCTGTACGTGTCAGCTCACTAACACTCAAACCCCTGCCAGCGAGCTATGAGGCCTCCCCACTGTGTGAGTGGAACAAAGCAGTCGTTTGTCACACAAGCCTGAAGAAGATAAGCCTGAAAACACTTTTTTACCCCTCCAGCGCTGTGGCAGGCTGACAAAATGATCCAAACCCTGTCACTGGAAACCCACCAGTGCACTCTCTTAAAAGCACACTGACAGGAGACTTGAGGAAAAAAACGCAGTTTTATCGTATCAAGCCTGTCATTGTACTTTGTGATTGTGTTTTGCGTTTTACAACCAATTCACTCCTTTCCTCTGTTTTCCTCTCTCTCTATATCTCTCTTTCTTGTTCTTCCACACACACACACACACACACACACACACACACACACACACTCTGCAGTCTCATTTACTTGTGTTTTTTTACTTGTTTTTTTTTATCCTTTTAGGGCTCCAGTTCTTCAAAAACGTGGTGTTGGTGGCATCTCCACAGGACCGTTATGTTCCTTTCCACTCTGCCAGAATAGAAATGTGCAAAACTGCTCTTAAAGACAGGAGCACAGGTCAGAAATGAATGCCGTATTGGATTTTCTTCTCTTACAATATATCTTTAAACATCATTGTGTGGAACTAATTGGCATTATTTGAATTGACTTTATGTAACGTTTGAAAGAAGCAATAACATGTCCTTCGTCATACTGATTAAAAATGAATTTAGAAGTGACAAACACCCGCTTTATATCCTCATTGGTTTTGCTGCTACATTTGGTCTGGTATGACCAGTAGGTTATGGTGGCTAATGTTGGCAAGCTTCAGATAGGTATTGCTGCATGACATCACTTTTCATTTCATTTATTTGCTCAGGACAATAATCATATGGTAAGGAGCACAAACAAGACATAACAAATAACAAAATGACAAAATGCTTATATGACTTAAAACAAGTAAGAACGTTCTAGACACCCATTTTGCCAATAATTTTTGGCTTGTCTGATTGCAGCAACAAAAACTTATACATAGATGGGTACCTTACATAATACTTTGGCAGATACCTGTCTCTGAAATTCATTATGCTTACATTCTTACAGTCAAAATGTGATACTTGTCTCCCAGACTGTTGTCATTACAAAGGTTGCAAATCCTCTGGTTTCTATCCAGACTTTTATATCTTCTAATGACCTTGGAATCCTAGTATTATTAACCCTGATGTCTTTGCTTTTGGTTTTAAGCGCAGCATTATTCTGTTAACACCACATATGGCCACATTTGTGATTGTGCAACAAAAGGTACATAGGCTCACTTTTGGTGTAACATGAGACTGAGTAGACCTACACACCAACATTCTTTTGGGGCTTCTAAATATATATATTATGTCATTGTACTTTATGAAGGTGTATACAACACTTTTGTGTAAGAACTTGATCAGCTCATCTGTTAAGTGATGAGAGCATACACTGCGTCACCCATATCTCACGTGTGTCCATGTACCTGAATTTGTTTTCATTTTTGAGGGAGAAAAATGCTCTTTAATGTTTCAATTGAGTCAATTGTTGTGCACATCACACCCTTAAGATAGTATAATGCTAGGTCCACTCACTTATGGTTGGTTTTAAAGGAATAATTTGGCTTTTGAAGAAGTAAACCTTTTCGATTTCTTGCCGAGAGTTAGATGGGAAGATTGATAGCTGTCCATGTCTGTATGGCAAATATAAAGCTGCAGCTAGCAACATTTAGCTTAGCTTAGCATAAAGCAGGGTGAAACAGCTAGCCTGGAAATGACTGAAGGTAACAAAATCCACCACTTAAGCTTAGCTAACATGGGCAGTTATGTCCCAGACAACAGTATTTCATGGCTGAGATTTGTTATACAAAAGGTGTAATTTTTAATTGTACGATTCACCCTAACTTTCCTAATTTTTGCACTGAAGGGCCCGTCTACACTGAGATGATTAACAACCTCCTGCAGCCACTTGTGGAGGCTAAAGAGTGCCGGCTGATCCGCCAGAATGTGTTCCACGCCCTGCCAAACACAGCCAACACCCTGATCGGCCGCGCGGCCCACATCGCTGTCTTGGACTCTGAGCTTTTCCTGGAGAAGTTCTTCTTAGTGGCAGGGCTCAACTACTTCAAATAAAGGTGCTAGTAGGCTACTGCAGGCTTACAGGACAGAACCTGTTGGTGGCTGATGGAGCTGATTTTAAGGATAAGGTCCTTACCTTCATTTTGTACAGTATATTCAATGTATATAATCACTGATATCCAAGAGGCAAGGCCTGTATATCCCGTTTGTTAGGATTGTTAGCAGCTGTTATAAAAAAGATCAGTGTATTGTCACTGTTTAAATTGCTAACTAAAAACTCTGAGTTTGACGTGTAGACATGCAAAACAAAACATCTGACATCTATCTCAGGATTGATTATAGATGTTTTGTTGGCCTGGAATAACCTGTCAGAACACTAACAGATGCTAATTGTGGTCGAAAGCATTTAACTACTTTCCCTTTAGAATTGGTTTAGAGTCAGGTTGATTGATTTCTAAGGGTTCCACCGATGATAGTCTTAAGCTATCCTTGGAACCGAGGCAATAGATGCGCCACATTTATATCCTCTTGATTGAACATGAAGTATTTTGTTGTACAAAACATAGATGTTCCTTTATACAGAAATGAATATATTGTTTAAATTATTTATTTTTTATTTGTTATGTGTCTACAGTGTAAGTAGCCCATCTAAATGTGATCTTTTGTGTGTTGTTATCATCAAATCTATTGAATGAAAATCAAAGTATACAATGGAGGCATAAGTGTTACCCCATGTAGCCTACAATTCAGTATATGGACACCTGCTTTTTTTATACATATCAGTCCAACCTAACTCATTGACCCCGATTAGTAAATATGCCACAGCATAATCTTTGATACCAAATGGCTCTACTGGCTCTGATCATTTGCACTGAAAGGTTGATTGATTAGATTTATGAATTGATCATTTGCCTATCCCCACCCTACTTATTTACTGTTGCTATGCCTGTGAAGCTTACACATAATCAATTTACAGTGATAACAGTGGCAGATTACCACTCAAAATTCTTTTAAACTTTTAAAACAATGAATCCTTGAGGTAGATAAAAGCATGCTTCTTATTTCTCTCAATTTTGTTGTCTCAAATGACAACTGTCACAGGCAGATTTTATCAGCCGTAGCTAGCTAGGTGATGTAAGCTACATGAGATGGTTGAAAACGCGTTCTCCAGCTGATTTCACAACATTACTGAAAAATCTGACTGTTATTTCGTTATATCATAGCCCTGTTTGGCTGCTTAGCTTGTATGTGTTCGTATTTGCGGCTGTTTGCACTTTAAGAACAAAAGGCCTTTGGAGAGGATTGATGAGTTTTTAGCATTTAGGACCAGCTTCACACAAAAGATAAATAGTATACAGTGGATGTGCTAGTCATGAATGTTTTTTTAATGTAACCTGTAACCCACAAACTAATGAAACCTAGTTGGTTAATGATGTGCTCCTCTGCTTGGAGGTAATGCTCGGTTAGCACTAGTGAGCTAGTTGGCCGGACATGCTAAAGTTTGCAGGTCACTTTAAACTTTTGCTCATGTGTTTTTGGTTTTGCAAAGGCTACAAAAAACACACCACTCCTGAAACTCTTTGGTCTCTTTAGTCCAGTGGTTCAAGACAGCCCTCAGGAGCCGATAAAAGTTCAAGCCCTACGCCCACTGCAGCAAATGTGGAGTTCATTATAATCAATCATTAAGAACTGAAGTAAAAAAAAAAGATTCAGGTTAACAAAATACCCTTGAGAGCATCGGAGCACTTTTGTTTTTTACGACACAACATGAATCAAATTCATGCAACTTTAGACCTGACAGTCCTGTCATGCATAGGTACGGTTGCAAAGCTATGATTGGACAATTGCTGTTCAGGGTAGGGGTTTAGCAGTTATTTTGATAAACTATGTGTTTTGATATGTTGAAACAAATCTATTGCATTATAACTACCACGATAAAACAGTAAAGCTACATGACTTATTTGCATTCTGCTCCTTGAATCATATGGCAGGGAGACAGAAAACAGGCTTACTGATATAATTAACAGCAAATATACTGTAGCCTACTTGTTTGTTAAAAAGATACACAATGTCCATGTCTTTACAATACAATGTTCTGGTATAATGACCGTCACTTTCTTAATGAGCCTTTTAAATTGTACATACAAATTCTCCACACAAGGATAGATTTCATAAAGCACTTTGAAATTTGTTATTTTTTAACTGGCGTAAATCAGAGTGCCATTTCTTGTGTTTTCTGGAACACTGGGTGAGATTCTCCCTCACACACTCATTTTCTTTAAACCACTTTCAATATGATGCATGATGACGACGTCAGCAACAGCACGACAATGCTCTCAAGTTCTTGAACATATTCGATGCCGTATTTCTCATCTCATCAACTCAATCAAATACATGCTGTACGCTTTTTGTCTTTTTTTTTTCTCTACAACCTTTGCTGTCACATTAAAGCGTGACACGAGATATGTCATTTTCCAGCATACTTGTGAGGACTGTTTTCCTCATCACTGTGCTGTCCATCAAATGATGTTTACATTTTGACAGTCGTCTTAAATCCAGCTGTGGTTGTGCTCCTGCAGCATATGTAATGTACATACAGAGACCTATATTTAACTTTTGCACTGGTTTGATGGCAAGTGCACTTTGTTGACCACTTCGAATCCACCTCCATTGGCTTTACAAAATCTAAAAAGCTATTTTTCCTGTGTTTTTGGTTTATACATGCACTGCTTCTTTCAAGCATTGTATAGTGCTCTGTCCCCGAGTACAAACAATGACATCGCAAAGTGCTCTTTCCTGTTCTGAAGCTGTTGCTGGGGCTCTGCAGGGTAAGCAGAGTGTCATTGTGATTGACTCTAATCAAATGGGCTCCTTTGGGACGCAGAGATCGCTCTCAGAAATCCACTAAGCAAAGCTGCGTAAGCAGTCTGTACGAGCTGCCATGCATCATTTCTCAGCACACACAAACACATACTGTATATGGATGAGGCTTTAGTTTGTTTGCATTTAAGGTCGTGTTTGTTTACCCAAAGGGGTCAGCAGTAATCAATGTAGTGAAAAAGTGTTATTGAGCATTGGCCCCTTCAAGGGCAAATACAGGTTTGAAATTGTTTCATAAGATGAATGAGTTCTGTAAAAGGTTTCAATTGAAAGTGCGGTATTAGATCAGAAATAATTGTATTTATATTACGCTGAACCATTCTGTAGAGCAAAGTTTTTTTTTTATATGACTAAATATGTCTGTACATTTATGCTGCTGTCATAACTATGAGTGATTTCAGAGGTGATTCATATATCCAATAGATCCATGCAAGTGCTGTCAACCTTCAAAACTAGCTGACTTGAACCTTTTTGTATTTGATTGCCCTTTACTCAGAGTCCTGTTCATGTGTATAGTGTGTGTGTGTATGTGTGTGTGTTTGGAGGGTGGAGAAGGGGGTGTAATATCTGTGTGAAAGGATATGTGTAATCATTGTCTGCTCGTTGCTGGAACATCCTTTATGTGTTTGAACCGAATGTAAAAAATGTTTGACTTCACTGTGAGGAACATGTATTTATTCCATTCTGAAGTTCTTTTGCTGAATGTATAACATGTAAAGTACAGTAAATACTACTTCATCCGTGCCAATACTACTGTAATATTTTTCTATGTTGCTGACTGTGCTGTATGTATTCCTTAGTAGCTTGTGTCCTATGTAAAAATATAAATATATATAGCATAGTATTATTTAACAGATATGATGTTACAATAAAAATGTTCCTTTTGCATTATATTTTGTTTGCTGGCTTTCAATTTCCTGTTTGCTTTAAAACATTTTTACTGGTTTTGTTGTATTAGCCAGTGTTTCTATCTAATTAGCACACTTACCTCTCTAATTTCAATCTAGTTTAACACCTTCACACCCCAGTGTCCACTGCAAGGCATCAAATGTTTGTAAATGAAAATGCACAAAAATCTCACATTTCATCAAGTCACTAAGGAGATTTTTGAACTCAATTAACACTTCATTGGACAGGGTTTATCCATCCATCCATCCATCGTCAACCGCTTATCCTGTGTACAGGTTCGCGGGGGGACAGGGTTTAATGGCATACTAAATGTACTATTTTTAAATCTAATTTGCAGATATGCAATGTGGAGAAAACAGGATTCAATTTTGTTTTCCAATTCCATTTCTAGGGTGACATACAATCGGCATGTGGCAAGGTGCGATTCACTGTAGGAATACTGGCTGGTCTAGGGTCTAGGGTTCGGGGCAAAATGAGTTAGAGGAACATGTGAACCAGAACCTACTCGGGTTGTTAAAAAAAATTATCCTTTTTTTTATCCTTCTCTTCAAGAAATTCTGAAGGCAGATACTAACATACAGATATATATTGAATAATTTATTTTGTGGTAAGGAAAAAATGAAAGACTCAAGTTTTCCTGAAGAGCTTCTGAAACAACATTGTAAGACTATAAGGATAAGATCAAACCCAACAATGTGTTAGTCCGTCTCTGAAAAACTTCCCCAGCATTTTATGCAGATAGCCCTGCTATTGACTTAAATCTATAAAACCAGATCACAAATAAATACTATACACTGTACTTTTTATTAAGTGTTACCCAAACATGAGGAAATTATGTATCTGATAGAAACTATTTTTAGTGGGGGATTAATTCACAGTATTTCCTGCAGCTGGACAACGTACGTGGGATCAGCTCAAAATAAAAGACTGAGCCCTTGTTCATCTTAATAATGGAACATGCCAGTCAATGCAACAGTGTGGCTCATCGAGGTGTTTTACTAGATTTTGGATAACAGTGGAGCTCCTTGGCATAAAGGAGGCTTTGGAAATAGCACATTCGCTGTTGGTTTTGGTCAGTAGAATTTGTTGACAATAAGAAAAGTATAGAATATTAACAGACCCTTTAAAAGAAATGACGCTAGCACTGACCATCATTAATAATGCATTACATTTATATAGCGCTTTATCATTGAAACTCAAAGCGCTTCACAGTGAAATGGCGGGGGGACAGACTCACCTCAACCACCACCAATGTGTAGCACCCACCTGGGTGATGCATGGCAGCCATTTAGCGCCAGAATGTTCACCACACATCAGCTAGAGGCAGAGAGGGAGGAATACATTGAGCCAATTACTATAGGGGATGATTAGATGGCCAGATGGTGAAAGCCATAACACCGGGGAACCCCCTACTCTTTGCGACAAGTGCCATGGGATCTTTAATGACCACAATGAGTCAGAACCTCGGTTTAACGTCTCATCCCAAGGACGGTATCTCCTACACAGCACAGTGTCCCCATCATTGCACTGGGGCATTGGGATCTTATTATTAGGACCAGAGGGAAGACTGCCCCCTACTGGCCCACCAACACATCTTCTAAGAAATCAAAACCAAGAAAAATGAAAACTTAAACTTAACTTAAACTTACTGTTGTATGTCCTCTTTTAATATATCTACAGCCAGTGTGTTGGATTAATCTATTCTTCACCACATACCAGAGGGTTGTTTTTAAATGTGCTATATAAATAAACTTAAACTTGAGCTTGAGATACTGTAATTACCCAAACTCAGGTCCATCATAAATCCACTGACAATTTGTTACCTATTTTTCCTAAAAGTCCTATACAGACCCACACCCACTATGTGCAGACCAATATACTAGTCTCACCCAGGCTGTCACTGAGTGGTGCTTGTGCTGTGAGCAGAGATGTAGCTGTTTCCTCCCTCCCTGAGCCACATGGTCCACAGAGGCAGATTTGTCACGGCCTTTAACTTCTGTCTGTGTATATTCTATTAACGAGCCCTGTTGTGGGACAACAATGACTCGACCATTTGTGTTGTCCGTCGGTGACACGCGTAGTAAACAAATCATAGCAACAATCCCCTACTGACGCCCCATTTCAACTGCATCAATTTATGACTTCCTGGTTTGGGATACCCCTGAGCTATAAATCCAGGCCACAACAATCCATACTCAATTTGATTTCAGGGTGTTCTTTCTCATTCCACCGTCCATTTGTCACTGCATGTTGAACTCATGATCCAACTGAGGCTAGTTGAAGTCCCTATACTTGGTTTTCCCTGCTTTTTCTTCCCTCCCTGAAATCAATAGAGCTCATTTTTCCATCCTGACCCTAAAGACATCAGTCTGTCGCCAAAAACTGATAAGGGACCCACACTCTCACACAGTAATGCATTTCATTTGCTGCAAGTTAACAGCAATTGGTTGGTCACATTCACTTATCATCACATGCAATGAAATCACAGCAAAAAAGCAAAAGCAGCGCTCTTGTTCACAGCTTGGCTCTCGCACAAACACATCCCCACGGAGACCAGTCTTATTCTGCATGTGTCGCTCCTCCCCGGCCATAAAGTGGAGGAAAAATGACTTTGTCATTAAATCCATCACTCGGAGTTGATTGAAGCGGTGTTCATTCCATTGTTTGTGAAGGAGGGAAACCATTAGTCCCAGAGTGATACTTTGGGCAGGCATCGCCAATAAGCAAGCCGCCAGTGGGAGTAATTATTGCTGCATGAAGCTGTCTGTGCTGGAAGGTAATAAGATCTCACATGGTCTCATTATCTCCCATGACACTGATGAGCAGGATTTCACACCTACAAAGCAGCACAAATTCAGCAGAACTGGACTTTCAGTACAGCTTTGAATTATATATTTCTATCTTGATGCTTGATGTTTTTTTAATGGTGTTTTTGGTAGTAATCTGGTAGTAAAAGCTGCTACAGGGCAAACCAAATCACTACAGATCTTCCTGTTTGGAGTTGTTTTCTTTCTTCTTCTCTTTTCACTAAGAACAATAGCACCCCTGCCACATGCTTTCAAAACAAGTGTAGTGTATTATCATGACCAACAGACAGTGAGGACTAGACTTGCCTTTTTATTTAAGGCATTGCTTCATAACACAAAGAGACTGTAATGACAGGAATGTAAATCAGTTACTGTAACTAATTTTTGGCTTTTCAAACTCTCTTTCGTGCATTCTGTCTTGTCATTTGAATATCATACTATATTTCAAAGAATGGGTTGTAAAACTGAATGCCTGAAAGTGCAATTATGCTAATGAGTGCAGTTTGGATGTGTTAGTGTCCCCTAGTTTGTGCTACTCCTGTATTTATATTACGTCTGAACCTGACGAAGGATTTACATAGTCGAATCAGAATCGTCAAGTCCTGCCTATAGTCGACTCATGTGTGTTTTGTGCGCAGCGATTGCGGGGAGGAGGGGAGGGGGTGGTTCACACGGTAGCATCGCTTTAATCTTTAGAAGCTGCAGAGCTGCAGTCTTCATTCATTCAACTTACACTGTAAGTTTCCAGCAAAACCGTGGCTTATTAACCCTTTTGTCTCTCTATCTCTCTCTTTCGCCTGCCATTCATCAGTGCAGAGTTTTGCGTGCATGCCGTGCTGCCAACAACTGCATGAACGTTGCGGTTCCTTGCGGGTCTATTTGAAGTAGCCGGCTATTTAAAAACGATGAAATACTTTGTGTGGTTCATCAACGGTGAGAAATTATCCGAAAGTCCCGCAAGGAGCTGGGGTTCCGTCTCTTCAGCCAGTGTTCCTCTTCTGCCACAACACACATACACGCTACGCCTACACATGCGCACTGACGACCCAGGGTTAGGGTTACAATTTTGGATTTATTCATGCACTTACTAATATATATTATTCTGGCCGCTACAAAATAAAAATATTATAAACCCATGTCCCACGTTGAGCATATTTTCCTTGATCCAAACAAAGATCTACATTCTCAGCTTGTACACCATCAACCAAAATTTCACAAGTCTACAGCCATAGTCGCAGCTTTGTGAGTCTGCACGTAAGCACAGCTGTGCTTAGAGCTAAATGCTAATATGGGCTTGCTAACATGCTCACACTGACAATGCTAACATGCTAATGTTAAGCAGGTATAATGTTTACCAATGTTCACTAGTTTAGCATGTTAGCATGCTTACATTTGCTAATTAGTAAAAAAAAGCTTGGTACAAAATACAGCTGAGGCTGAGGGGAATGTAGTTTTGGTATTGAGAGCCTAAGTCCCTCGCTTCTAACTTATCTTTTCATCCCGTTAGAATTGTACCCTGAATTACACATATTATTTTTGTCAGTTTAAAAGATAATTTTGGCCTTCAAGAAAGTTGCAGTTTGTCGTAAAACTGTTCAGTAACATTTAGTTTTGCGTGGAAACAATGAACTACATCTCTTGTCTCGCACAATATATACGTATAGCTAGGTAACTTAGCTATGTTCCACGCAGAAATGTCTCTTACCTGATGTGTTTAATCCAACAACTCCTGGTTGTTTGACGTTAGCTTCAGTAACGTTAGCTTCAGTAACGTTAGCTTCAGTCATTGACAAAAAAAGTTATGATTTCACCTATACGAACGTTGGGTTTTGTGGTTATTGTAATTATGTATTTTCACAGTCTTATACTTAAACAGTTTTACCACAAACTGCGACTTGACTTTCAAATGTATATTTTAAATGACCAAACATCATAATTCAGTTTTCTCACGCCACTAAATACTATACATATGTTTTCCTGACTAAGGTCCCATGGTGGTCCACCAGAAGGGGAGGGACATAGGATCTCTATTTGGTCATAAACCAAAGGTTTGGATAAAGAAAATACATAGATGTTGATCTGATGGTGATGCTGGATGAACTTTTCCCCTGACTTTTTCAGGGGATCATTAGGATTCATAATTTGGGACCATACAAAATGGCAATCCATCTAGTA